CTCTCTCTCTCTCTCTCTCTCTCTCTCTCTCTCTCTCTCTCTCTCTCTCACACACACACACACACACACACACACACACACACACACATATACACCGGAATTTAGGAGACCACCCCTCGAGGGACAAAGCGGCAGGAGGAGGCTCGGAAGGAAGCCCCGGAAACAAGCAGACCCAGGTAAGATTATAAACCTACCTCGAGCGGACTGATACCCCGAAATGGGGGACCCCACTCTTCGGCCAAGCTCGAACCAGGAACCGGCAAAACAAGTAGGCACGGGCCCACAGACCCACCCGTCTATGACCCCCCAGCGAACAGGAGTGGAAAGCAACCGACCAAATTCACCTGAACCCACCTCTCACTGAGAAAAACGACGAGCCTCGAGCCTTGGACCTAGGGACCAAGCAGGAGGGTACCTCATCACCCTTCGATATCCCCCAATCATGGGATATTGGGGCGGATCCCTTTTAAAATCGAGAGAACTCAATCAAGGGACAATCACAGGTAAAACGAATGAACGGAAATACCTGCCTCCCACTTGAACGAGGAGTCATAAGCACGGGAACCACGGGTGGAATGGATTGAGACCTGCTTTTCACTGGAGAAATGGGCCTTGAGCCCGGGATGTATCGATCGGACTGGCAATCACCCCAAGCCACCTTCGATACTTCCCGACGAACTGAGTGATAACCCATCACGTTTTTTCGTTTTTTCTGGTTCCTCCCTTTTGTCTTTTCCTCCTTTGTCTCTGTCTTTTCCTCCTTTGTCTTTTCCTCCTTTGTTGTCTTTTTCCTCGTTTGTTGTTTTTCAGCTTTTGAGCAGTGACGGAACCCTCCACTAGGTTTCACCCGGAGCGTGGGGATATCTCCCGTATCTCCGGCGACTAATTAGCGATCCCCAAGAAGAGATGAACTAGGATAGGTTTTTTATTCCATCATACCTCGGCAAGGGAGCTCGATGATACACACCCGCCGCACGGGTACTATTGATGTTGGGGGTATGCTTATGACCACGGATATCCGACTGATCTCCCTCCCCTGGCAGACTGTACCCTGTTAGGCCTTCCCTTGAGTATATATAGCAATCATTATCCCTGGTGAGTAGCAAGCGTTTGATGGGCGGATCCCTGAAGTGCGAGAATTGAATAGGTTGGGTGCATCATACGGAATCTATCCTAGTGCAACTGCGGTGGATCAGGACCTTGGAAGCGGGCGGAGGCTTCAGCTATGGCGGACTGGGAGTTCACAACTGGAGCGGAGGAAGACCTACCAATCACGCCGGAACCTGAGGAGGATATCGCGGCGGAAGAAGCGGTACATGGTCCTCAATCTCCTCTGTGTGTGTGTGTGGAAAGGGATATGGCTGTTTATGTTGGACTGTGAAATGGATGTGCTGTTTTGCAGATTTTTAACTCCTCTGATGAGCCGGTTGAGTGGCAATGGCGAAAAAGCTTTTAGGGGAGCCACACCCCTCCTGCGGTGTTATTCCTTCCATGAAGTTCGACCGAGCTCCCATCGTTATTATTCTCAGACGTTCTGCCTAGCCTAATCTCGAAGCCCGTGGATTGGGCATCGG